GCAAGTCAAAAATGAATGCGAATCGCACCGTTCGATTGCAAAAGAATCAGCCCAGCTTTGCGCCCCAACAGCATGGAGGATACCAAATTCAACGTGAGAATGTCCTCGATTGGTGTCCATGGGAAACAACGTTGGAGACAGACTTTGCAACAAAGTGACAGACAAAGTGGGAGACACAGTCCGTGGGAAACAAAGCGCACACTGTCTGAGACAAAATGATAGAAGACAAAGTGGGCGACAAGCTGGAGTCCGGGAGACAAAGGGCTGGACAAAGTGGGTTACAAAGTGGGGGACAAAGTGGATAACACGTGCACAAGTGAGAGACAAAGCTGGAGACAGACAATGTGGGCGACAAAGCGGAAGACAAACTGGGAAACAGACAAAGAGAGAGACACGGTGGGCGACAAAGTCGGGACAATTGAGACAAAGCGGGCGACAAGCTGGATGCGCGGACGGTGCGCAGACGGTGTGTTTGCGAACGGTGTGGACGCAAGGGTGGGGACGGAAATGGAAGGGCCAGGTGGACATGAGCGACTGTGGATGCGCGGACGTTGCCGAGACGGCTTGCGCGCAAGGGCATGGATGGAGATGGGTGCAAGGGGTCGGTGGGCATGAGCGAACGTTGTCCAGGAGTGCAACAGAAGGACCCTCTTTGTGCATTTGGGCAAGCATGCGGCGGGGTGTCAATTTCTGGCTGACGTTGCTGCACCGTACTGTCTTTGCACGATGGTCCCTGGTTTCAAACTGACACTCTTCGTTTCCGATTTTCCAAGCACCACACCAACATGTTCAACAATTCAACACGCCGCTTTCTGCAAACTCCAAAGCTGTTGGCTGGCATTTTCCTTCTCTGTTCTCTTGCTAAAAACATTGTTTGGCGGATTGCGGCAAGTTAGTGGGTTTCGCAACGCAGCTTCCTGGCATCAGCAGGGGTCATTTCATTGGTGCGCCCGTTTGGTAGAAGCCCTGTTTGGTAGAAGCACCGTTTCGTGTTGCCGCTTTCCTCTTGTTGGCACAGCCCTCCAATCAATCTCACCTTGCAACGCGGCCACATACCATATGTGTGGACAATTGATGCGCGGACAATGTGGTTGCAAGGGAGTGGACCGCGGTGTGGACGGAAGGGAGCGGGAAGAAATGGCTGGGGACAAGGGCAAGTGGGCATTTGCGAGCGGACGAAAAGACGGAAGAGAATGGACGGAAGTGGGTGGTGCAGGGGCAGGCGGGCATGAGAAGGCGCGGACGAACGGGAAAGGGGGTGCAACTTCCAGCAACTGCAAAAGACATAATATATTGCATTTTCCATCAACCGTCTAGAATTTCCTTTCAATGACAAGAAAAATTATGGCTTTTCCAAAAAGAATCTTTGATGCATGAAGTTCTCGTTTACTTTGCTACACACGCGGGGAGTGAGCACGGTTGCACGGACGGAAGGAATTGCAAGAGAAGGACGGAAGGAAATGGGAAAGCGAGGGGACAAGAAAACGAATGCAAAAGAAGAGCTTGAGACAGAAGTGAATGGGAAAGTAAGGGAAAACCGGCAGGAAATGAAGAGAAAGGAAAGGTTGGAAGGACGGAAGAGAAAAGGAAAGTCAGGGACAAGAAGGGCAGGACGGAGGGATGGCATGCGTGGAAGGCAGGGTGGGCATGAGCGAGCGTGGACGAACGGACAGTGCCGATTGAAGATAGTGGAAGGAAAAGGGTAGGGACAGGGGCAAGTGGGCACGACGAACGGACAGTGGACCAGAGGGGGGTATGGGTGAAGACGGCAGGTGGTCCCCAAACTATTTCCACGGTTTCCTTTCCGTCCACGATGTCGACGCTTCCGTCTCGCTCCCCCCGCGGCGAAGCAAGCTAAACGAGAACCCAAGCATCGGAGATGCTTTTGGGAAAAACACTGCAGATCTTGCAGGCGCATGCATTCATTGTCTCAGTTTTAAAACAGTTGGCAGGAAGGGATGCCACCAACCAATCGCGCACTCGTCATTGATTCAGGCTTTCTTATGATGCTGCTTTCACCCAGAGGTTTGCATGTAATAACATCAGCAGAGTGACAGGGCTTTGTATTAAAATTGCATCCAGAGGCCTGATTGAATCCGGTTTGCTTGCTGTCGTTTTGCTTTTGGGTTCTCCGGCTCCTTCTTGCTTCCTTGAGCACAAAAAGCATACAAGCGATTGAACTTGCAAAGCCGGTCTTATCTCCATGTACAGCCCTGTGATCATACCACCCGCGCCTATACTAGATTGTGATGTTCCCTTTATTACAGAAATTGGATAGTAAAACCTCGTTTGCTCATCAACCAGCAGAAATTGTGAATTTTGAACATTGCTCAAATCAAAGTCACTTCAAGCATCGCATCCGCTCAGCATGCATTTCTACAACAAATATCTGCATCTACTGTCCGCAAGCGAAAACATACATTGTACCAGGTGTGCCACATTTGTGGCGCCCTTTCGCTTGAATCAAGCAATTTGAAGACTGCATATTTATCAATTGGGA